CTGCCGGAACCGGCCGGTACTTTTCGGCCTGGGTGGTATATTCATATTATTAACGGTCGTATTTTGATTTTCATCTGATGTTCATAGTATATGCACATGTATACATTAATTGCATTGTTTATCATATAAAAATGGGCCAAAGGAAGAGCGGATATCTTAAAAATGCTAATGCAATTATTCTTTTTCTTTTGTTTGCTGTCAACATTAGTATATAAGTGTATATTTTGATATTCGTTTATTTCTATATTTTTGTGATATGAGAATAAATCCGCTTGAATCACTGCCAAAAATAGAAGAAAAAAGAAGATGTCTCCTAATTAATATCTTATTCAGTCAATGTATGAAAAAGCATAAATTCTTTACGTTGAGTGGTAATGTTCATAAAAGATCGATGTATTGTTAATAAATATAAATATTAACGTTTAAGTATTAGTATTTAATTTAATTTAATTCATCTTAGTATTTTTTCTCACCGATTTATGAGAAAATTATCTATTTGACAGTTGTTTTTATTCTGTTTTAGCACCATTTATATGAGACACATATTATTAGTGAGTGAAACGGCGTGAAAAGCAACAATATTACTTCGATCTAATAACTGTAGAATACACGCATGTGCCACATGACCAAGCCGTTTATAAGAAAAAAATGCACAACAAAGCAAAAACCATTGTTCGATTGCATTACCACGATTTCGCTTTTCTTCTGGCACGAGTGTAGAGTTACCTTGAATATTTTTTGCTTATTTTTCTTACCCTTAATTATTGTGAGTCATACTTGGTGAAACAAATTAAATGTATATGGATGCATTGCGTCCGTATTCTCTGCCAAGTGAATAATGGGAAAGGGGTCATTAAAATGCATTATTATCCGTAGCTAGACCATTTCGACCCTTAAAATGCATCGTTTTTAGCGAATAATGGTAAAATAATTATTAAAATGCGTTGAGATTCAAAAATGATCCATTTTGACCATATCATAAAAACGGACTTTATTTTTTTTCTCGAGTTTCAAACTGACTTAAACAATACTTATGGTTTCTGAAACTCAGATGGATCACTAATAATTACTTACAAAACATACATATTTTACACAAAAGTCAAAAATATTTTTCGAAATTCTGCATAAAAGTTGATTGAAAATATTTGGTTCTAGTATAAACATAACAAGCAATAGTTGGCAAACTGTTAGTTTTTGGGTAATTCTCAGCAATAAATCGATAACTTTTGAATCAGAAAAGATCATGCTCTCCATAAAACTACCCAATTTAATAGTTTCCCTGGGAGATCGATTTCTTTAGTGGAAAATATTTTTTTTTAAGACGTTAAATTTCATTTTCATCTATCCGATGAGTAGCACACTATAGACAAAAGATCTAATGCTGCATTTTGTCACTCATGAGAAATTTAAAATGTTTCTAAAGTGATGAAATATATTGACATTATGGAAGCTACAAGGTAGATCTTAAGAAGCCAGGTTATCTCTGTATTATAAGCAAAATCTGACTTTGATGATATTTTGAAAGTACTAACTAAAATTGAAGTTTTCATTGATCATCAAAATTTAGAAATAAAGGTGCAATGCTTCAATAGAAAATGCATTGCAACGGGCTAAGCTAAAAGTTATTTCTTTCTATTTTTAAATGAAGTTGTAGTCATGATTATTCGTATTGTTATATTTATTTGTTAAGATAAAGTAGTTGAAAAAATCAGAGTGGACATAGTTAGCTTTTAATCTAATATTTTTCGTGGCGAAACAATATGTTCAACTCCAAGTACATTAATTTTACACTATAAGTATTATACAAGGTTTATCCGTTTTCGAATAACACTTTGTGAACAAAAAGTGCGCGATTTTTCTATACCTGTATTGTTGATCAAAGAAAACACGTAATCATGCATATATAACTCAGTCTTCAGATCTTGTCACTATATGAATTTATATGTTTTGTTAGTTCCTTCTACAAAAGCAATATTTCCATTTATTAGTTAGACATGTAGTGCACACAGTGACGTTATCTTTATGATCGATTAATACAAAGCTTTAATTAGCACAATCCGCTAATAAGTATATATCTTTTAACTCAGAAGAAATATTTATCTTGAAATGGCTGCATTATCGTTTCCATATATCGAATCATTAACATATTTATTATGTTCATGTTCTCTCTTTAACATTATTTGTTCTTTTCTGTGAATGTTCTGTTCTATATGCTTGAATAAATTTTATTGGTTCATTTCAAATATAGACGAGTTAGTTGTAACATGTCTGTTGTCTCTATATTTGGACAACTAAAGACACTTCACGAGATGTAATAGAATTTATAAATATTATAAATCATGTGTGCAATTTACCAGATCAATCAATCGTCACTCACATTCTTCCATATCTCTCTGAACAGCATAAAGAACATACTTAGTTTTTCAGTTTAGTCCGAATACTATCCCAGATTAGGTCTTATATGTAATTTTTATGTTGACGAGTAATATACAACATGTTTAGTCATACAGTATAACTATTCACTGATAGCCGAAGAAATCTGTTTAATATTCTATTCATTGAATAAAATATGTATGATAATTCTTGTATCAGAAAGAGAAAAATAAAACATGAAGTGAATATTAGACAGCTTAGTATATAGATTAATCATAAATTCACTGATTAAATATTTCATGAGGCATTTTTCTTTTTTCAAAAGTTTACTACAGCCAATTACTAATAGTTTAATAAAAACTGAAGATCTTCATACATTACTCATAATATAAATATAACACCTAGCACACAATGTCGTTGCAACTAAAATGAAAAAGCTAGCTGTGTCGTTTTTTTTACCAGGATACACTTCTTCATGACTTAAAGTATTTCCTAGATTTTTTGTCTTATCTATGTAATACATAGTCGCATATTCATGTTCTAGCACATTATGGCTTCTTAGTTCTTAAATAAGAGTATGAAGTTATTGTTATTTTAAAAATAACTCTTTCTAGTATTTCTCGACATATGACTTCTATGTAACTATCTGTTACGACTCAGAATTTTGTGCTCTTTCTATTGACATAAATACATTAGCTTTCATTCACATTTCGTAAAATTGTAAAAGAATAGTTATTTTGAAAATAACAATCGTTCTACACTCCTATTCTCAAATAAGATCCTTGCAGATGTTTAACCCAGTTATCAATGATTACATTCAAAGAAAAAGATAAGCATTTTAGTTCTCATTGTATAGAAGCGTTTGAGAGTCTCGAGACGCTAACAACTTGATAAACGACATGAACCAATAGCTCTTTTTGTATAATCAACATTTCTTGGCAGACTAGGTCGAACGGCATTTATGTTTTCACCAAAATGCTTCATTTAAAGCCGCATAGAATAGTATTCTGACTCGTCCATTATAGTTATCTGTATCCTTCTAAACTCTAGGGAATTCAAATATTTTTAGCTAAGTTTTCTAAAAGTACACTCTCAATTCAAGTATAATTATGTAGATAACATATTTCTGATAGCAGCAAAGATATTCAGAGAATATATACCGAATTAGACTATAGAAAGAATATCAGATGATAAAAACAAGATAAAAGAAATGAGCGAGTAAGGTTAGTGATGATATTAGATTGAAACATAAGTTCTGCACGGTTTTTTTTCTTAGGCAAATTTGAGGCCTTATATCTCATGATTGGAATGGGATAGAGCCTCTATCCCATTCCAATCACGAGATATAAAGCCTCAAATTTGCCTAAAAAACAAAAAAGACGTGCAGAACTTATGTTCCAATCTAATCGAATGGCACTCAAATGCATTCAAGGTGACATAATTATAACGATGTGAAACAGTCACAAATAATGCCAAAAAAATGGTTTGTGTACTAGGCTGGTGTGGGTGTGGGTTCCCGGGCTGGCTCAGCTTAAAATAACTTCCATCGGCATGCACACCACATACCCACACTCACTTGAATTCTTATACATATGCATCAAAAGTGAATTAAGAAACGGAAAGAATTTTATTTCTGGTTATCAATAACAATCATCCTTCAGGAAATCAGCAATACAAATAAAAAAAGGAACAAAATGTCTATGTGAGAATGTCTTTGTATATAATCAACTGCTGTTTTTTAGCCAATGGAATCTATTCGTAGCTGAGTTAGAATAACATGAGCTCATGTCGATCCATCGCTACCAGGGTGAGTAGTATCGTCAGATGATTTAAACATGATCTTATCTATATCTTTTCAGCGAAAGAGAACAAGTTGTGGTCTACCAAGGAGAAGTGTTATTGTACATTTGTGGATCTCTATTGAATTTCGATGTTCTGTGATAATTAATTCTACATAAGTCATTCCAATCAGCACATGCAGTGACAGAAAGAAAAGTAAATTATGTGCTTTGACTTTCGACGCCGATCGATGCATCATTCTTGAAATAGGCTATGTGTGAACTATCACTAGCTGTGAAAGACATGATATATCCACTTTTCGGATGCTGCTTTCTCAAGTTTAATTCGCACTTGTAAGAGTGTGAGTGTGGGTGCTATCACTATTTTCTAATTTTATTTGAACTTTCTTAAAATATGATACAGTTTTTGTGGCTTCGACAATTCGTCAAGAAATTTTATTTTAATGTTTTGCAATGTTGAAAAATGTTGGTTGCCGTTATTGAAGTATCCATGTTAAGTGTAACATTACTTTTTATTTGTCACAAATCTTTATACAAGAGAATATTAAATAACTATGCTAAACATAATAGCCGATAAGACGCAGTAGACTATTTCTTCATTCAATACTAAACGAGTTTAACTAGTATTGTTGGAAGTATTCTAATTATATCGGCAATGGTCATATGCGATGGCTGCCCAGGAACAGTTCTTGTTCAAGTATAAATATGCATGTTGTTTTATGTGCAACAGATTTTCTTTGTTTTCTCTTTACTTGTTTGGATGGATTGCTCGGTACATATTTCTACTAGATACTTGTGCATGAATGTATTTCACAAGAAAAATACACTTCAACATCTTATTGCTATTCGTTTGGAATTTGCTGTTTCATAGAATAATAATTTAAGTCCTCGTTTATTAGAAGAAAGTAATGTCAGTTCAGACGAAGCTATTGGACATATTTCGGTATGACTGTTTGCTTGGCGGCTATCTGCTCGTAGGGATGCTGATGCTGATTCTTTAGAATTATTTTTTAATTTTTTCTCACGAAATTATTTGAAGTATCATCAGTATTTACTGTATTTTCTGCTTGAATATGCTACACTACAATAATTAGTCGCGCACTACCTTCATTAAATTCATTTATCTATGTTACTAAAAATGATCTGCCGTTTACATTTGCCTTAAGAGCTGTTGATAGCATGGCTATATTATCAGGTCTATCAAAAAACAATTCTATTGTTCTTACAAGCACGTGGTGCGGAAAGATGTACAACCGGACAGATCATTTTAGGTATTAATCAAAAATATTCTGTTATTATTATCCAACTGAATATAAGTTCTTTTTTCAAGATATTGATTGAGAAATGATGAATAACGGTTTCAAAGCTTTGCATCTTACAATATCTTTCATTATAATTCATGTTGAAACACCATAATTTTAAACACAACTAATTTATATTTTGAATGAACGAAGATAATTAGAGATGATGATGATGATGATGATTCACTGCGAGTGATTTACGAGTCGTGAGTTTACTGAAACACTGATATTGCGTCTTTTGTACTTTTATTCATATTCATCAATGAACAGTAGTGAAATAAATACATATACTCGACCAAAATATAGGATAACTTTAGGCTATCTATAATTTAAATCATAATGCAAGGTTAGCAGAAATGCATCACTTTTATTAATATTTCTAGTCTTAATACATAAATGTCGTCTTTCAATTAAGAGTCCTGCTATTGAAAAGATTTGTCTGGAGTGCGAAAGTGGATGGTAATTCCAGAATCTTCACTAGCAATCTCACTTCATTATATTTTCATAGAAAAACTCACACACTCAATGAACGTTGACTACAATAGAGAGAGCAATACTCGATGCCTACAGTGAAACACGCCTATATGCATATCAACACACACATATCTAGAACATTACGTTCCAAATCAAGTACAGACAACATATGACCAGTCTTGGTAGAAGACAACATTACATCAAACAAAGAACGATATTGAACTTGCCAAGAAGTTACTAACATGCACCTTCAAGACAATTTTAAGCAGTTCTCAAATATCTTGTATAAATATATTTTTAATAAAAATCAGGTAGAATAGAAATCTACTGTTGCACAGATATTCTATTAGTCGATATGAGTGATTCCAACTCAAGTATTTTAAATTCAACATCAGTCCATTTCTTGAACGTTGAAACTTCATCATCACCCTTTAAATTCTTGAAAGAAAATTTCAACTTTTTACATGCCAGTGCACATATTTCTTTGATATCTGGTCGATCTGTAAATTGTTGGGCTCCACCTATGTCCTCACGACATTGTCTATTACCACATCGAACTTTTCCTTAAATAAGAAACATAGAGAAAATTTAAAATTAAATCGATCAAAATATTGTTTGTACCATTCACTTGTATTTCTTTGAATTTTTGTGCTTCAGAAAACCATTCGATTTCTACTCGTTCGATGAGTTGTTGTTGTTGAATAAAATAATTACTATTTCGCTTGCGTATCCATGAAAGTTGACCCAAATAATAATCACATGAGCGACATGAAACTTTACCATCTGTGGTCTGTGGATCTTTTAAATTAGATTGCATTAATTGTTTCAGTTCTGTTTCGACACGCCATCGATCAATAATTATATTCTAAAACGAAAAGAAAAGAAAATGATAAAAACACTCCACTTTTTTTTGTCATAAAAGAAAGTACAAAATATTTCATTAACCTGCACTTTTTGAAGATTAACTTTCAATTGATCAGATGATATTTGTTGCCAACTGTTAAGAGCCTCTAACATTTCCAATTCTTTAAAACGATTTGTCATCTCTTTTATGTAATTTTTTGATCCTATATACATGATAAAATGAAAAACAAATTTTTTTTATAATTGATGAGTTTTGCTTTTTTTTGCATTAGTTTTTTCCTCTAACAAAACTGTCATATACCTGCATCAACAACTAAAAAACAAGAGCTTTTCTCTGCTCGAGCCCGTCCTCTTGATTGAACTGTGCCAATTTCATTTGAAACAAATTCATAACGTATAACAAAAGAACATTCTGGTACATCCAAACCTTCTTGTATGATATCTGTAGCAATTAACACATTCGACAATCCTAAAGATTCATCATAGATTGACAAGACTATTCAAATAAGTACAAGAAAACCTTTTCGAAAATTGTTCAATGCTTCATCTTGTTCACTAAGACTATTCTGATAATCAACACCATTTTGACCGACAAGCCAACAAGGTTTTATAATGTTCTATTTGAATGGTTTATTTTAACTGTAAATAACCAACTTACCTTAACATCTTCACGTTCATTGAAATAATCAAACATCAATTTTGCATAAAGTGTACGAGATACTAAAATTAATCCTACACAAAAAAAAAGAATTTTTTCAATCATCAAGTATGAAAAGAATAACAATTAACCTCTCGCATTGTCTCTTTGTTTAATCAGCCGTTGTAACAAATCAGTCAAAAAATCAAGTTTAGGATTTGTTAAATAATATTGACTATCTTTCAATTGATCGACTATACTATTTATTATTTGTAGACAATAATCATGAACTTCAGTTTCAATATCTATTGGCGTTTCTTTTTTACTAGAAGAATCAAATAGAAATATTCGAATTTTGTTGATAATGAGAAATATACGTGTAAAATAGATCAATTTTCTTGATGATATCATTTATTATTGATTTTAATGGTAAATCAGTTAATGCATTGAGTCTTTTGACAAACATAATCATGTATTTAATCAGTATCACATTAGTTAAATTGTTCTTTATCTCTGCATCATATTTTTCTTGAACTAATTGTTGTTCATCAGTTAATGCATCAATAGTTGGAGAACATTGAGATCCAATATATCCCAACAAGGATTTAATTAATTCTACTAATTTTTGTATATACTGATCAAATGACATTGATTGAACAGTGAGAATTTCATCATCTGTTGGTCTATGTATTTTTTTATTCAATTCTTCAATATGTTCTTCTTTGCTTACAGTTACAACATTATAACAATTGAGTGTTGCACATAATTCATAAAGTTTATTGAGAGCATTATTACGACGCTGTTCAACATTTGATAACTCTTCATATATTAACTTTGAATTCGTTAGTTTCGTTCCACATGAAGCAGTAAGACCAATTATTCTCGGTTGATGGTCCGCTTGATGATAAACTAAATATTGTTCCATAATTTTCGAATATGGATGATTTCCAATACAATTATGACATTCATCAAATATTAACAAATCAATTTGATTTAAAAGAATAGTTTTATCGATTAAGCAATTCAAAAATTTTTGTGGTGTACAAACAACAACATGACTATATTGAACAAATTCATTAGCTGTTGAATCATCGTCACAAGGCATAACACGAAGATCGCCAGCATCACGTATAGCTGCTACTTGTTGATCACGAATTGAACGATGAGGAATAAAGAAAAATGTTAAAAATTGTTCATCTTTTTCTTTTCGTTTTTTCATATAATAATATTTGATTAAAAGTGCAGCTATGTATGTTTTTCCTGCACCTGTTCGTAAACTAACAATTGCATTTTCACTGTTTATAACAGATTGAATGAGTTCAATTTGAAAATCAAAAGGACGACGTTGAATGTTTAGTTGTGAAAGATATTCATCAGACCATATTGAATTTTTTTCGAAAGGTTCTAAATCTAAATTTTTGTAGTCTTGAATTTTCTCAATAGGTGAATTGAGATTCGTTGAAACAATTTCGTAAGTACTTTGTTTTGTGATAACTGATGATGATGATGCTGATGCCATGGCACCTTAAAAAAAATGTATATTATGTCAAACAAAAGCATATGCTATCATCGATGATAAAACTAGATATTTAACAAAGAAAATCGAACAAAAGTTCAGAGACATTGCATCCAGAGATGGGCAAGTCAGCGATTTTTTGACTCAAGTCAAGTCAAGTCAAGTCAGAGTCGCTTTAAGTCAAGTCACAAGTCAAGTCAAGTCATTTCTTAAAAATTCCAAGTCAAGTCAAGTCAAGTCGGAGCTACTTTGAGTCAAGTCACAAGTCAAAATTCAAGTCAAGTCAAGTCAAGTTGGAGTTCAACCCCGATTTTCACTGTGTTTTCTTTAAATGAAGACAAATTATCGAAAACATTCTTTCCTTGATCCATATTATAGTTGTACTCTCGTTTGCTAAATTATTTATTAATTTAATTATTATAAAAACAAAGAAAACAACGTATTTCCGTTAAACAGATTTTTGGGAAATGAAATGTCCAATAAAAATTGAGAAAAAAGGTTTTCTACGTATTTCAACAGCCATCATCTTATTTCAGACGAATTCACTCTGTGAACATATTTGCTGATCTTCATTTCGATTTTTCCACTACATTTCAGTTAAAAAACCGAAATTGAAGTGAATAAAATCCCTTTAGATATATACATGTTTAGACTTGACTTGACTTTTTTATATACGGCCAAGTCACAAGTCAAGTCAAGTCATTCTGAAAAATTTCAAGTCAAGTCAAGTCAAGTCATAATTCGTTCAAAAAATCTTCAAGTCAAGTCAAGTCAAGTCAGACTTGACTTGACTTGGCTTGATTCAAGTCATTTTTTGACTTGACTTGCCCATCTCTGATTGCATCGTTGATACAGTTCTTAGAATCATGTGTCATTCTAAAGTGGATATCTAGGACTATAAAGATTGCTAATGCTTATTGTATGGCTTTCATTTGAACTAAAATCAAATACGAATGATTCAAAAATCTTACTTTCATATGTGCGTTTCATATGAGACTTGCTAGATGAAATAATTTAACTAGATATTTTTTGTCATCTTGTAGAAAAAAAAAGATAGGCAAAGGAAAATAATGACTAATATCTGACGAATGTCTTATGAATGACATCACTCACACATGAATCTAAAAAAGATAACAACTTCTATGAAGTTTTTTTTTTATGCTAAACGCTGCTTTATCTAAACCTTACTGTAGAACAAATATCAAGACATAAAAACTATGTGAATGAATGTAAGAATATAGTTTTTTTTTCATATACATCAGCCGAACGATTCATATTAAGCTTGCCTTTAACTATGTTGATGACATTAGTCCGTAACAATGCCAAAAATGAATGGTTTACAGCAAAAACTCTATTGAACTATGTATTTTTACTTCACATAATGATTTTGTACGTTTATGATGTTCATTAGACAAATCCTACATTTATCGTACACACTAGGAATGTCACATTAACGTTATTAGTCAATGTTAAATACTAGAGTAGCTTGAAACATGATCCACCAACCCTTGTAGTTTTATAGTGTTTTCTATTCTATATTCACATCAGACAAGCTAGAGAACTCAATCATAAACAATCATATAGCATATCATACCTATGTCGTAAGAAAAATTTGTTCCAGATAGGCGCGAAATGGCGAATTTTTTAATTAATTCTTGTTCTCAATACGAAGAGAGAAAAAAAATTAAATAAAGCAGCAGAATATTCATTTTCACATATATAATCACATTGTAAGCACACTAATGACTTTGTTTTCAATGTCAGAAGTTGAATCTCAAAAACATTTTTACGAACAAGCAAGTGAACATCTTCAATTTTTGAATAGAAAAATTTTGAGAAAAGTCAGTGATTACGCAAACCATCAGTAACAAGGCTCTTCGTCACTTGATGAATAAGTATTTGCCATATTTCGACTTGTTTTTTTTACATCTTGGCATCGCACATCTTTTGTCGTACAAAAAAAAAACCAACTTGAAACTTTTACTGTGCGATACAGAAATAACTAAACTGGGGTTAGTACATGAAGCGATGTAAGATGTTCAGAAGCCTACTATAAGGATTTTATTTATTATCCTAAATGTTTGTTTGTCTTGAGATATTATTTTATGTGCTGATGTATGCACGAAATTTATTTTGCTATATATCCATAAACAAACAAAATATATATAAGTATATGTAGAACGAAACAAAAAATAGTACCAACAGAGATGAGAGAGATATAAACGAAAGATGAAAGACAGTCGAGGAAGATCATAAGATATATGTATATATGCTTAGGTGCGACATCACTCTAACACATTCCAAAGGGGAATCGGCGGAGGATGGAGTATGGATGTGTTTGTGTAGGTGTGAGTAAATAGCGAAAATACTCATTGCTACGTTTTCCATATCTGCATACAATTCGTCTCCGTACCCTATTTGATTTTTTTCACAGGACGAAACAACTTAAACTTCTTCTTGCCATTTCTAAAAGGCATTTGTTTTATAAATCGATAAATTGTCCAAATACAGGCATTTATTATTCGTATTGTGCTTATCAATATCTTAGATATAAACAAAAGGATTTCTTATCGGATGACAGAAAAGTATTCTTGTTTTAAGAGGAAACATTTCCAGATGTCAAAGTGTATTTGAGTCAAAACTCTGCGCATCACATAGGCTCTAGGAACTTGTCCATACTCTCAGAAAATTGCATATTATTGCTGAATTATTGCATTTTTACGGTATTTTTTAGCATAAAACCATCGTCTGTCTTCAAAAGGCTAGAACAATTTTATTTTGAATATCGATTTCAAAGCAAGAGTTTGCGTTCTTGAAATTGTTTCTATCCCAAGATACAGTGGCAGCAATGAGAAGTTTTGAAACTTTTATAAGAACCTATTCTTATCGAGGTCTTCTTCTGTGCAAAGTTTCAAGTTGAGATTTGAAACTGTTTTCCTAGTGTTCCTAAGAGAGGCTCCAGCATGGAGCTAAAACATACTCTAGAAATGTAATAGCTAAGCAGAAATAACCTAGAGATACGAACCCTTTTAAGAATACTCATAATTCTTTAGAACCTGTAAAATGTATATAATCCCAACTGAAAAGTGAATCTCCATGTAGAAAGTGTTTTTTCGTTTTGATTAGAATAGAAAGTTACATCATTTGTAGTAAACTAAAGAATTTGGAGCTTTTTCTAATAATTGAAAGATTCAGAATACGATTATTGAATAAAATTTCAAAAAAATCCATTTCAATACTTTCCTCGATACTGAGTAAATACTACTGAATTATTTAGATCTGAGTCGAAGAAAACAGTTCCATTCTATGATACATCAAACAAGAAACTATTTAATAATATCATAAACATACTCCTCTAGAGAAACTAAAATAAATATGATTGTCTTAGGAATTAGAATTCTAAACGTCAACATAACTTTCTTGGTTGCCTATCAAGACGTTGAGAAGGCAAAGGATGAGAGCTAGTTTCACTGCACTATAATTCTCTCTTGATGATATAAACCAATTTCAAAAATATAAATCACTGAAACAAATGAATAATTATAAGACAATGTAATTTTGTTATAGCTATTGCATATTTTGTTTTCAATCAAATATTTCTTTTTTACAGCCAAAATGAACTCTTATTTTGACAAATTTTATTCAAAAACAAAAAAAAAATCAGAATGTCGTGAGTACATTCTATACCTTATTTCATCTGTGAAATACGTTGAAACAACTATTTGAAGAATTAAATTGAAGCATAATAATCACCAAAAAAAAACAAAAATGTTATGTCCTTAGCGTTGAGCAATAAAGGAGAGAAAGGAAAATGGAAAGAGACAAACAAACAAACAAAAAGGAAAACCATCAAGAAAAACTCACAATATATATCACAAAAAAAGAGCAACAAAAAAAAAACATGATTAAGTCATAACAAACCATATCCATTCTTTTTTTAAAATAATCTATTATTTTATTCTGACTTTGGTTTCGTAAAAAGTATTAATGTTTCTGGTGATCGATATAAAAATACAAGTTTAGCAAAAAGTTCTTCTTCACAATCTAACATATTATTTTCTCGAACTAAATAAATATCACGTAAAAGATGCCATAATCGTTCAACAGATGGTAATTCATTATACATAATTGTTTTACTTGTTTGTAGAAGTGTTCGAAATAATCTGGCAACAACAATTACAAATGTTGTATATAAACCAATTATTCTATATTCCAAAAAATAGAATAAAATATTTATATCATATTTTATTTTTCAACAAGAAAAAAAAAAAAATTTTTAGTTTTATGTTGATGAATATTTCTTAATACATAAATATTGTTTTAAAAATATTTTAAAATGCTGTCAAAAATAATCAAACAATTTAGTTTGCATAAGAAAAGAATGCAAGAAACAAGCTGCTACTACTTCTATTATTGTTTTACTATGATGAAGAAAATGAAAAATAATTGATTAGAAAGTCAAATATATGAGAAACTATAAGAACACTATGATGCATTATTTTATCAATTTATTATTCTAATTTAAATTGAAATTTTTAAATCGAAAGAAAACAAAAGCGTATATCTATTTGTCAATGTTTTATTAATTTAAATTATTCTTTGACATAAATTATCCGATGTTATTAGATTTTCGCCCCCTCTAATTTTGTCAATAGAATTCAAATATATTCTATAGGTCAAACGTTGACTAATTATGTGGTACAATTTGTCGGTCGATGCTAAAAATGCATGCATTTTTTTTTAATTTAGAATCTTGTTTATCTTGAAAAATTATAAGTTTCAAAAAACTTCACTTGTCTTATGTATAAGAATGATAAATTTTGAAGATCGTTTCGAAACTTGTGGGACAATCTATCTATATATATATAATAAAACTTGTCAAATAAATAGAACATGCGATGAGTGCTGACTATTACTTATTATGAAAGTATAAAGCTATAAAAATGTAAAATTACAAACCCATATCGAGTAAGAAATGAAATATTGGCTGGCGAAACTTTATCATTGAAAAAGATCATACTCAAATAATTTTGATTGGAAATTGCACCTAAAAACCAACAATCAATTAACATTTTATACAATAAATTTGTTTTTTTTGTCTTTTCTTACATGATGGAGTATAAGTATATTTATTTCCATATTCTGACATTTCCCACCAAACATCTGTACTATTTGGAATTGTTGTTGTACGATTTAAACCCATTGTAATATTCGCATAATAATCATTAACAAAAACTATACAAAAAAAAAATTTATTTTAAATAATCAATAAAAATTTCTAAAAATAAATTACCATTTTTAAAAGCAATTATTTCTTCTGGTTTTGCTTTTGGTCTAACATGTAAAAATCTTGGTATTAAATTTCTAATTGTAAAATTTCTATAAATAAATAATTATTATTAAAATATTTTAAATAATATTTCAAAAAGTATACATAGCTGTTTTTGATTCTAATGTTCCATTAAGTATTTGAATTAATGCATTTCGAATATTTTGATCATTTGCTGTTATATCAACTGTATTTTCGCCTGTTACAACCGTTGTTAAATCACCAGAATTATCTTGATCCAATAGATAACGACTTATTGTATATGAAAATCGTACAGGTACTGTTACATTTGAACGTAAATTATTTACAACAATATCACGTATTGGTTGACTTATTTCCCAAAGATCAACACTTGTAGCAAATAAATTAACACATCGTATATCATCACGATTAAAATCACGTAAAAAAGCATAGGCACCATCCTGTTTTAAATGTAAACGGAAAGTTTAATAAATATCAAGTTTAATTCAATTGAATTTTTAAAATATACAGAAATATTATAGAATCAAATTTTATAAGTAGAAGTCTGTAAAAGAATTTTGTTACATTTTATAGAATTTGTCTATCTATGTGTTCTAATCTCAAATAGATTTCTTATACATCAGAGAAATTCTTGAATAAACATACTTTAGTAGGTGTTCCTATATTTAATGAATCAATTCTATCACGTAACACTTTCAAATCATTTGCTGTAAATGGAACTAAATCAATATCTTGTGCTGTTATTTGATAAATTGGCTACAACAAAAAGAAAAAGAAATGATGATAATCAATAAAAAACAAAAATAATGAATGATCATACCAAATATGCACCTAATTTAATTTCAACATTGACTTCTTTAGGTGGATTTGGTTGATAAAATGATGATGAAAATGAAAAAAATAATAATGGAAACCAGATTAATAAAATTAATAAAAGTAATAAAGAACCACCAACACCATATTTTGTTATATTCGCTCGAGGTACACCACGATCAGTTCGATATTTCTAAAATAAAAAAATTTTTTTTTTTCATCTACACACTTCAACATAAAAGAAAAGTTCATTTTTTGTGAAAGAAAAAGATTTGTTAATTTAAAATTTGGGTTTTTTTTTTCTTTTTACTTGTTCTGCCCATCGTGCACATTTCAATAAATAAACATCCGAATAAATATCTTGTAATTGTAACCAACTTGATAATCCAAGTGCTGTACGTGTAAAAATCCAATCCATAATTGTTCGTAATTCAAGTAAAAATGGAATCAATAAATAACTAAACAAAATTAAAATGAAAAAAAAAAACAAAAACTTTAATTTAAATAGATAATTCTTTTTTACATTCGATAAAATATTTGATTAACATAATTAAATTTTTTCATTAGAAAATTTCCACCAATACGTTTTGGATAACCTAATCGTACTTGTGTTGATGAATAACCAAATGATATACATTTAAATAAATACCAAAATTGAGCAGCAACATTATCACGAAATTTTCTTTGAAAAAAAAAAGACAAATGATTTCATTAGAATAAAGATATGATATTTGTATATATATACATATGTGTTATAGCAGGTAATACAAAAAATAACCAAACATGTACACCAATAACTTGAAAGAAATGAAAAAAGAATTTTCCACGAACATTTCGACGTAAATAAAATCCTCGATCGATTATAATTAATAAAAATTGAATTAAAAGCATTACAAGAAAAGCTACAGGAACCTTAGAAAAACAATTTTAATTAGAAAAATTGATGAAAATTCAAAAGTTTCGTTTTTTTTTATCTAACTTTATTTTCTTTGATTGTTTGTACGACATTATTTCCAGCAGCTCGTTCCTAAAAAATATGGAAAAAAAAAAAATTCTTTTTTTTTTTTTTTCATTTCTTTAAAATAAAAAAAAGAAAGGGAAATATGGAATAGTGCATAATCCCAACCAGTGAGAGGATATGTTTTTTTTTTGTTTTTTGTTATTAGTTCTTATCTTATGATTCAAATCACATACGTGATTTATTTTTTATCCTTGTTTAACTATTAATAAATCAATATGAAAGAAAAAAGAAGGAACTTTGGTTTTGTTTTTGATAAATGTTACAAAATGACTTACACCAAATTGACTATAGAAAAGTATAACAATAATCATACTGATAAAATCACAAAAGAATAATGATGCATAAACATCACGAACAAATGATAATTGTTTTGGTTGTCGATAAACATTAATTATTGTTTGTAAAAAATAACCACTAAATTTAAAAAAAAAATAGAATTATTTTAACTATTGAAAATTTCTATGAAATTAATTTACCTTTGTAATTTCGGTGTTTCTGATTGAGAAGTTTCTTGTTGAGTAACATCTTGAGCAACTAAATATAATCATCAAGAATTATGAATTTATATATTCAATAAAAGATTTTGGATAGTTGCTTGATCAGAACTAGTGTTCTCTTTCTTTGTTGATGATAATGCTGGGGATAAAACACAGTGTTGATGCTAAACATCATATATATGTCATATGGTTTCTCATCATCAATAGATGAGTTTGTATTAAAAAAAAGAACTGTCTTACGAGGGAATCTCTTCAAGTGTTAATCGCCGATAGAGCTTATATTTTGCCCATAAGTAAGACTCTATGAGACTGATAGGAGTCTGGAAAGATTCGTCCTCATACACTGTCCTTTCGGATTTACGACCGTTTTACTGATTTTTTGATCTCTAGCAATGGTATCTATAGGGAAGTCCAACAATGGAATTTTGACCTGAAGTTTTATTCATAAACAGGTCTCATGATCACTAGAATGTTCTAAAAGTTTCAGCTAAAATGAACGTTTTTTTCTCAAGATATTGAATTTTCAAGGAACGATTATATTTCAAAGGCAAAGGTCATAAAATCGAGTTTCTTGAAAATTCAATATCTGGAGAAAGAAACGTTCATTTTATCTGAAAATTTTAGAATATTCTAATGACCATGAGACTTGTTTATGGACAAAACTTCGGGTCAAAATTCCATTGTTAGAGGTCGAAAAATCAGTAAAACAGTCGTAACTCTGGAAGGCCAGCGTATGGAGACGAATCCTTCCGAGCTTCTGCTAGTCTCATCGAGTCTTACTTATGGGCAAAATATGAACTCGATCGGCAATTAACACTTGGAGAGGTTCGCTCGTTAGTATAACAATATCGCTTTTCATTTTTGTAGTCTGTTGGATATGGATTTGAAGAGAACATGTATTTGAGAAAAGTGGAGCCTGCTCAAAGGATCTAGTATATCGAAAGATTAATGATAGATCCATTGATCTCATCTTGTTGCCTAGAATGAAAATTTTTTTCATCTCATTAATTTATAGAAGACAATTATAAGTAGAATAAGTCTAATGATCGTATCTCATTATGAACATATTCGATTTGTTTATATCAATAAAAATAGTTATAAGAGTTTCAGACTTTTGGGACAACGTGTATAATTCAACTGAAAGAAATCATTTAGATGATTTGCCTACCATCTATTTTATCTGATCCTGCTTTCCAAAGTCCAAGTTGCTAAAATAGAAACAAATGAAAATAAAAATTAATGAAAACAAAAAAAAAAAGAAAAAATTAAATATATACTTTTAATATTGATCGATGAAGAAATAATGATAAAAGTAGAAAAAGATCTGCAACTGAAGCAGCATTTTCTTTTCTATCAATACCAATAATATTTACAGGTGCTAATGGATTCGTTTGAAGTGTTTCCGAAGCATTCCATGGGTAAAATTGAAATTGAAATATATATTTAATAACAATCATTGCTTCTGTATAAGTTATTATTGAAATCCAATAATTTCTTGATGGTCGTGATGGTAACATAGCCCAAAGAAATATTGATAATGGTAATGGCATTGAAAGTATTGAACCTGATGTTAAATGATTAATTACCATTGCTGAATAACAAACAAGTTCAGAACGAGACATAATAAAATAAAATAATGAATCAAAAAAATTATAAAGACGTGAACGTTGTTTTAAATTAGTTGTTGGAGAAATTGTTTCAGTAGTAATAGACCTAAATAAATAAAAAAATGAATAGAATTTCAAATAATTTTTAATAACAAAAATACTTACTCATCATTTACAGAATTTATACGATCAGCATCATTGAGATGAACATCTGAAACCTAGAAATAAAAAATAAAATTATTTTGTTTTTTTGATTAAAAAAAATAAATAAATGCTATTTACTGTTGTCATATCTCTTTGTGTATTAATAAGTTCTTCATGTTGATGAGTTTTATCTTGTGCTTTCATTAGAGATAATTTTTCTGAAACATCTCTATAATCACGTGAATGTCGATTAAAGAAATCAATTAAATAATCAATAACAATTTGACCAATTAAACATAATTTAAAAAGAATTGACTTTTGTTCTTTTTCTGATAAACATGAACAAAAATAAAAAACAAATTAAATATTACAAATAGATTATTAATTTTACCTTTCGGTTCAACAGATGTTGTCTGTTCAGTAGTTGATGGTGTTATCATCATTGTAGTTGTCGGAGGTGCAATAGGTGATATTGGATGAAATTCTAGATTGTCTGATTCAGGTAGAGGTGAGCTTGGTGGTTCTAGAAAATATTTTTATTTACATCAATTTGTTTTTAAAAAATTATTCTATTGTGTTCTTTCGAAACGATTTACTTGGTGCAGCAGCAGCAACAGCTGTTTGTTTATCAGGTGCTGTTAAAACTTGAATAATCTAAAATCAAATATGATTATTGAATATCTATTTGATTTTGTTTATTGATTTACTTGTTCTTGAGCAACAGTTGCTTGATCTTGTGTTCCTTCATCTTCTTCTTCATCTGATTCATCATTAAACATATAATAATCACCTGATCGAATGACTAGGAAAATTCAAAAAAAAATTTGAAAAATTAAATATTTATTTTTTCTAAATAAACCTTCGAAATGTTCAGTTGTCGGAGTGTTATGTGTTGATCGATTTAATTTTAATTGTTGTTCTTTGATACGATCTATACTTCGTTTTATTTTTTTCATTGTTTGTTCTTCTTTATCAGCTTTTTCATTATTACGTTTAGCTGAAATATCATTAAATAAAACAGCACCTCGACTAGCCAAATTTGCTTGTGAACGAAGTTCAACAACAATATGCTCCCAATAATAGCTACCAAAGATTCGTTTTTGTAATAATAAACATATTAGACAAAATCCATCCCTATTAATTAATAAAAAAAAAATCTTTTATTTAAAACTGAAAATTATGATTAGAAAATTTACATGAACAAATTAGCATCAGTTGCACTTTTATCACATTGTTCTGGTATTCCTAGAAATTCAATAGAGAAAAAAAAAAATTAAACTCAAATTCTCTATAAAATATACAAAATATAAAATAAGATTGTATACCCTTAGATGATGAAGGACAATTTCTTGGAGGAATAAAGTCCAATCTTAAGCATGGTACAAGCAAGTCGACAAATGTACAAAATGAAGATGTACGTTTCATCCCTTCACAAGGCGTCAATGGATAAAGAAAAATGCAAACAGCTACCTAGATAGAAGAATCAATTTCAATCAATAATCATGCTTTATCAAAGAAGATTTTTAAAAAGAATAAAGAAAATTAAAGCATTAATCACTAAAAAAAACTACTTGAACTGTCCGATGCTATACAAGCAACCAGAAAGATTTGCTGTATAACGCATCCAAATGATAAAATATCAACACAAGCAACTATCTGAAAACGATTTTTTTCTTAATTCTTCTTTTAAAATGAATTAATAAAAAAGAAAAAAGAAGCATTTTCATTATACTTACTTGTAAACATGCTTTTATAAATATAACTGAAAAGCAATAATAAATTAAATAAGTCCATCTAAATAAAAAATATTAAAATAATAGAAAAAAAAAGAAAATTATAATTAACATACATTCGAAGCATAACTGTAACATATTTAGTTAAAAAATCTTGTCCATACCAAAAAAAATAAAAACATGCTATAAGATAACCAAGACCAAGTAAACTAATACGTGTTGTTCCAGCTAAATAAACTATTGATAGAACACACCATGCACTATACATAAATATAATATATTTTATTTGATCAAACCAATTTTGTCTTTTAAGAACAAAATCTCTTGTTTGATTATTTTTATAAACATCATTATCATAAATTATTTCATGATTTGATCCACCTGATTCTACATAAATAAGATCTTTTTCATTTGTTTCATATTGAAATACACGCCATTGTTGACAAGCAAATAATAATTGAAAGAAATCAGCTAGAAATTAATACATAAATATTTTACATTTGAAAAATAATAAATACTTAAAATTACCAATTAATTGTGTTGCTAATGGAGGATTTTTATAATCTGGTAAAAAAAACCAACGTTTCAATTGAAACCATCCATCAATTTTAAGATCTGTCCATGGATATTCTAGAAAAGTATAATATATTTACTTCATTTTTTCTTTAGAAACTTTTTTTAATCATATCAATAGAAATTGATGTTCAAGATCTTATACGAAGATCGAATTTTATACAGCTAAAAGGATGAAAACACTGAATCGAGTCTCATTTATTAAACTTCATCACAAACTTCTACTCTAGACGGAACTCGACCAAATCAGATAATAGATTATTCAGAGGCGGCTCAAGGAGATCAGAACAGAAGGAGGAGGTATCCAGAAATTGGAGAAAACTGTTTAACAATTTTCCTAAATTAGGAGAAAATCTGAGCCAGAATTCTCAAAGCAGGGAGGATACCCTCCACGCTCACGTCGCCTCTGATATTATTTGATTTGTGATTAGACCCCGTCGGGTAGGACCCGGACCCGGACCCTACCCGGACCCGCACGGGTTCGGGTCCGGGTCCGGGTCCAAAAATTTTACTTTGGCCGGGTCCGGGTCCGGGTCCAAAAATTTTATTTTGACCGGGTCCGGGTCCGGGTCTGAAAATTTTGCTTTAACCGGGTCCAGGTCTGAAGAAAACTTTGATCCATACAATTTATTTTGAATTTTTTTAAAGTTTTGTTCGTTTTATACAAAGAAGAGATCAAACGTATTTAGAAAATAGATAAAAAACAACAAAACCCTTCTTGACTATACTATCTAAACTGACTTGTCCTTGTGTTTGGATCCAAAAAATTCAAGCGACCGGGTCCGGGTCCGGGTCCAGCAACCTGTAAACGGGTCCGGGTCCGGATCCGGGTAGAAAAATTTTAAATGATCGGGTCCGGGTCCGGGTCCAAAAATTCTGGACCCGACGGGCTCTATTTGTGATAGTAACTATTATCCATTTCAAAATAGAATAACCGTGGGTATTTTTCTAATAACTTTCGATAGAAACTAGATACGAACCTGCGATTTTCACTGTTGAAAAAAGGAAATAAAGTCGCATTGAATCATTTAAATGTTACAGTAAAATGTTTTTAATAACTGAACGTTGCAAATTTATAATCTGAGCCTTACACAGACTGAACGCGATACATGATTTGTCGAAATTTCGATTAAAAAAGCAACTTGTCGAAAAATTCTATCGTATCTAATTCGATGTGTCTCTTCATCTCGTCTTTTCACTAGTGAAAACCGTAAGTCCATATCTACTTTATATCAAAAGTTATTTTCAAAAATTCTCACGACTCGTCTATTTTGAAAATGAATAATAACTTTAGATATTCTAATTTAAAAAAGTTTTACTTTTAAAAATTAAATTAAAAAGTTTTTTTTTTTTTTTGAATAACATCAGAAATTCAAAAAATATTATTACATGTATTAAAGTATCCATCCGATCCGAAGCTCTGTTTACACTAACTGCAGAAATATATCGAAATGCAAGCTATAAATATTTTTTCTAAAATTTCGATCTCATATTGAAAAATTGTAAGTACTAACCGAAGCAAAGAAATGGTGGTGCTCCAACAGCACTTATATATTGAAGAGGAAAAGAAATAATTAAAAAGCAAACATAACATAACCACATTCGTTGAATACAACGTCTACTTGATATTAAAAATAATCCTAGCCATATACCATAAAGTACAGCCATCATATCAAGACGAATAGCAATAACAATAACTGTTGTTATATAACATATCTAAACAAAGATTAAAATTTTTTTGTTTATATAAATAAAAATATTTTTTTTTTATTTACCTCTAAACCAAATCGATAAAAAAGAAAATTAGCTAAATATTTTAAAAAATTACAAATTTTTTCATCAGCTTGTTTATAATTAATAATATCAAATTCATATGTATCATCATTCATATTTTTTAATGCAAATGGTTCAAATAAAATTGGAAAACGATTTTCAACAAGACGAACATTAAAGTGAACTGATAATGATAAACGACGATGTTTTTGTCGGTATCGTACTATGGCATCAAATGTTAAACAAATTGTTAATAATATATAAAGCTATACAAAAAAAAACAACAACAATTTCTTTTTCTTTTCGCTTTTGTAAAAAAAGATTTTTCTTTTATCTTACACCAATAAATCGATCAATTTTTGGTGTTAATTCAAGACCAAACCATTTAGCTGTATCATTTGGAATTGAACTTATATTTAAATCAATCTAAATGATATTTTATATATATATATAGAAGAAAAATAAAATTATTTAATTTTTTCTTTTTATACGTGAGAACAATTTTTAAGAAAAAAATTTTTTTCAATTATATGTTGTTTTGCTATTTCTAATTGATAACACATTGATGCAAGTATATAAAGACCTGTTGCAATTAATGTTAATAAATTAATTAATTTTCGAAGATGAAATAATGTTAAACCAATGGTTATTAAAATAATTAATACTATATTAAATGCACATACCTAATAATTGATAAAAATATTATTACAAAATAAGAATATATATATATATGTATATCATTTACTTTAAGTACAGAAGCAAGAACCATTATAAGTAGAACTAATTTAAAAGCATGTAATTCCGCAAAACGCCAACCATAATAAATAATTTGTTTATAAAAACGATTGGTACGAAAATAAAATTTATATAATTTATCTTGCCAAGTTTTTATTTCATTTTCTAAGATTTCTCGAGTTTGAACATGTTCAGTATTTTCTAAAGAATCAACAAGTATTGATAATGAAAAAAAACTGTTTTACCTTTAGCATACGCATGAATATCTTTTAATGTACCATTCGGTGCACCTTGAATATTTTTTCCACTAAAAAATAAACATTGATAGTAAAATTATATTTAGTTTAAGAAAAAATAAATCTAACATAATATTAAAATAAACACTTAACATAAAATATGAATTTTTCATCAATTCATATTTAAGTTCAAATATATAATAGAGACTTACTTTGGCATCATAATTAAATTCATCCAACCAGAATGAAAATAATATAATTGCATTATATTAACAACTAAAAATGTACTTGGTGTAAGTAATTTAATTGCTAAAACATCAGATGGAACAATTTCAAGTCCAATTGATGCAAGTCTTTGAAAACAAAAACATAAAATATAAATTCTTTCATATATGTAAAAAAAAAAAAACTTACAATTGTTTACTAAATGTTTTTGATAAAAATACATTTACTTTTTCAAACTAAAATTACAAAAAAAAAGAGAAATATTTTGTAAGATAATTCAAAAAGAAACAAGAATCTTTCTCTACTTGATAAATATATATTCCAATTAAAACTACCATTGAATAAATAACTATAATTAAATGAAATGTTGCTGCTGTTCTTCGCCAAAATCGAAATGAAATCTAATAAAAAAAAAAGAAAACATAATTATCATTTATTCATTTTCGAAGAATATTAATTATACTTGAAATGAAAGAATAAAAAATAAATAAAATACCATATAAATAATTCGATAAATAACAACTGTATTTTGAATACTAACAAGTAATAGCATACCACATGATACAAATATCCAATATTTTGTTAATAGATCAATCAACCATCGTCCTTCAAAAAAAGAAAACGAAGATAAAAATTAAATTTCTACAAAAAAAAGAAAAGAATTTAAATCATTACCTAATCGACGAGGATATGAATCATTTGATGCACTACTTCGACGAGCTAGAATATCATAAAACAAAAAAAAGAAATAACAGTTAATTAAATTTCTTCAATAAGCAAATCAATATTAAGACTTGTCAAAAACACACAGGCATAGATTTAGTTCCCTCAATTAAATCATTTACTCATCTTACTTAATTCTATAACTATAAACGAAAATAAAAAACAAAAAAAAAAGAAAAGGTTAAATTTTATATCTTTTTTCTTTCATAGTTGATGAAAATAAAGAAATAAATTATTACGTTCATTTCCTCGTGTATTATTAGCAATTCGTTTTTCATTGATATATTGTCGAAGTGTTAACCAAAAAAACAACATATAAAATGACTAAAATAGATTAAAAAAAAAAAAAACTAAATCATTAATATTCTATTATATAATTTACATACTTTAAGAAGTAATGGAATAAATGCTGGTTGAAAATCATCCATACGAATACCAATTTGTTCCATAGTTCGACGATCATATGCAAAATTTAATTGATTAAAACTTATTTTAAAACCAACTAAATATTGTAAAATTAATAATATTCCTCCATATATTGTAAATAATGGACTCATTCTTAAACACCATTGTCGAGAATTAGGTAATACCCATAGTAAACATGCCCATAAAAGATAGACTAATGTTAATAAACTATGAAATGTTATACTCCATGCCTAAAAATTAAACATATTTTGTTTGATATAAAATAAAAAAAGAAAAGAAAACATCTGCCTACAAGCATAGCCATTAATGATAATAAATAACTTTGTCGTTCGAGTACACGAAGAGCAGAAAAAACAACAAAAATAATTCGTCCAAACCATGTTTGATCACCAGGTTGTTCTAAACTCCATCGTCGACGTGCTACTGGTGAATTTTGCTCAAATGTATCACGACCATCACCACTATGAACCAAACTCTATAATATATATATTACTTTATACATAGAAATTAATTACAATTTATATATTATCATATTTCAATAAACGCGAAGCTCAGCATTAAGAAAATAGATTTTATATAGAACGCAGAAGCAAAATTTCCCTTTTCCAATATAACTAAACTATCGAAAGAATATTTTCAATTGATCAATTATTTTTGAATTCGACTAAAATTTTATTAAATCTTGATAGAAAATTCAAGATTTTATCTCACTAGAATTGATAATATGTATTGATTTCGTCAAATTTAAAAACAATTGATCAATTAAAAATATTCTTTCGTAAGTCTATGCATTTAAAACTATACATAAGCAGTCACACAATTCAAATATAAAATGTAAGCACAATGTATGGGCAAACCTGCTGATCAGAACTGCGACGAGAATCTATCTGGTTAATAAGTTACACACACAGAATATAGGAAAGGGTACTCCACACAAAGATATATTTTTCTTTGATTTTCTTTTTTTTTTTTCTTACCTCTTGTTCAACTGATTGTGTTGTTGTCATATTCGATCGTATCTTTAGTTTAAAACAAAAAAAATTTTTCATTACAAAATTAAAAGAAAAAAAAAAAACTTAAATCAACTATCAATAAAATTTACTCGTTGAAAAAGTGTTTGATTTGTTTCAAAAGCAAAATAAAAATAAAGTATAAGCACTGCACATGGATTAACATAATCAGTCCATATTAATTTTTTTTCCAAATATGGTTCTCTATTCGTACAATTATTTATAACAATTGCTGTTAAACCTGTAATACTAATAAAATTTCAAATATTATATTTTAGTATATACAGATATATCAAGTTTAATGTTTTTCTTTTTTCTTACTTGCTCCATAATGATAATGGTTGTAAAATATCTTGAAAAAATCCAAATTGATAAAGATAAAAAGTTAATAAATGTACACCTGCATAAATAGATAATAATGTTCGAGCTAATGCATATTTTTTTCCAAAATGAACCGATAATGACCATATAAAAGCAAGTGTAAGAAAAAAAATAAAATATATGGAATTAATAATACTTGGATAGACAAATGCAGCAAAACCAACAATAACAAATTGAAGAAATAAACGTGCTCGTCTTATTATAGATAATAATCTTGGCCATAATTTCATTTGATTTGCTGTACTAATACTACTATCTGTTAATGGTGATATGACTGTTGGTGTTGGATGATCATCTATTTCACGAGATCTTATTGATATTAATTGACGTCGAAGAAGAACAAAACATATGATTGATATAGCTAAGATGATTATATCAGGAAAAATTAAACGTAAAATACGTTTAGCATTTGAATTATCAAGACTTAAATAATTCAAAAAAAATTTATTTAAAAAAAAAACATATATATATATATATATTAATTTAAAACATACCGTTCTAAACCAAAATATTGAAGGACTTGTGCTATTTCACTACCTAAAATAAATTTTGAATTTAACAAATAAAGAAAAACAAACAATTTTTTTTTTTACATACAATCATTAAGAGTATGACCATAAGGTTTTTTAGCAAGAAGAACTGATTGAAATATAATTTGAGCAAGAACTATGAGCAAACTTATAAAACCAATAAGAAATATAAATAGACGATAACGTGCTAAAATAAAATTTTTTGAAAATTTAATAATTTTAATTATTATTTTTACTTCGAATATGATTTTCAGTTAGTGGACCAAGCCATGGAAGAGTCAATAATAGAAAAGCATATATAAATGAAATAATACTATATCGAAAGATAGTTCCTATTGATTTGAAAAAGAATTATTTTTTTTTTTTTGAAAAAAAAAAAAAACGAATTTTTATTCTTACCGATAAGTAATGCAATTGGAAGAAGAAAAAGAATGAATACAGATAATAGTGTTCGAGCCATTCTTGTCAATTTCCTAAAATATTAATTCATATGAAATACTGAAGGTAAATATAAAAAAAGATATTCGATAATGTGAAACTGATTTTGATATTGAAAAATCATGAAATTTCGAAATATTTTGTGTTACTAATGAAATTCAGTTATATGGGTGTCAGTTGTCTAGATAATGTCCTCCGCTTTTAAACTTTTCTCCTTTCTTGAAGCGCAAAAACAACCAAAAAAGAATGAATAAAAACATCTAATTATGTATTTGCCATAAAGTTTGTCTATATTATTAAATGTCAACGGAATTACTTCCAGTATATGACTGTATCCACATAATCCATGTGCTAATAAGAACAACATAATTATTCTTCTTACTATTTATATGTATATATAAATACTTGTACGTGTTTATTTAAATATATATATATTTGTATTTCATTACATTGTTTTTGCAATGAAGAACGAAAAAATTACCTTTGATGTAATCAATTATTCTAGCTACCTGTAAATATTTCAATTAATCCCGTAATACGTACTGATTGATAATATGAATAAAAAACAATGACATATAATCATAGATTAACATAGAAAAATAAGATAATAGATTTCTGTCACTGCTAAACACTATCTTATTTCTTGTCAAAAGACACTATTAAAGGACATGAAATATTTGATGGAATCAAGACTATACTCTTTATTGATAATGAATATGCATGTAGATTTTGAAGAATCGATATTATATATATATATGTTAATCAATGGTATATGGACATTATTACATTAGATTGAATGGTTAAGATAACTCATAATTCTGTATATACAAATGAGGTCGATTATACAGATGTCAAAGATATGATAGACGAGAAGGGAACAATTTTTTTTTATCTCTCTCGCATAAATGAGTGCAAGTGTACGAACTGTACGTACGATTTCATATCCTAATTACAAATCGGGTGATTTCACGTTTCAAATCATGTAGAGCACATAGTTGATTGGTTTACTATGATGATAAAAGATCTTATATTGAAGAAATCAGTAATTTACAGAATTTGTTTTACAAGCCCTATTACATCATTATGTGCCCAAATTCTACGTTATATATATGTAATGATGGAAATTCTAGCCTTGTCTTTATTTGAAGAAGCTCGATGTAAATGTGTCATATATATCATGGAATCATCCAGATATTTTCTTTTATATCTCATGGGTATTTTTGTAATTTATCTTACTAGTTGTAATCATATTGTAATCGTTGTGGAAGATAATATTCTTGTGAAACTATATATAAACAAGAGAATATAATATAATGACTAATCTACAAAAACTAATAGTATAATTGAATGTTGTACTATCATGATTTTTTTGCAAATTAAATAAATCTTTTTATTTTTTATTTATTCAATAGTACAAAATGTTTTTCTTTTTCTTTCTGGAAATTACAAATAAAAACAAATTCAAATGAGAAAATCATGCCAAAATGAAGCTTTTATTGACTGCTGATTTTGCTTTCGTAATAGAATACGACCATAAACACCTGTTCAACGTAAATATAGAAAACGTGTAGCTAACGCACATCTTATATACTTCCAATCCACACCAATCGTAGTTATGTCTTTACGAATATCTAATTCGACAACATAAAGCCAGTTACCAAGTGATATTTCAAATATGCCTGTTTTCTTTTAAAGAAATTCAGCAAGAGTAGCTGTGAATTATTGTTAATGCTCATTAGTGCAATTTAACACACTACACGATAGCACGTGAAGGTAAAAGATATTTTTAAAATAAATAAATAAATAAATAAAAAAGATAGAAATTGTAATCTAAATGGTTCCTTATTCTATTAGTCATTGATCCATTCAAATGCAAATATCGCCTGAAGAATCCTTTAGTGTGTGCTCAACTAAGATAATTGTTTAATAAATAAAAAAAAACTATATATGAAAGAATTCATTTTGACTTAAGCATTTTAATTATTAATTACAATGGTTTATTTTTTTATACTATTCAATAGATGTCACTAGTTCACTAAGTTTTTATATCGTTTTGGCGATGACATTGAAATCATACACATGCTATCTTTGGATTATTGTTCTCATTGTTCTTTTATATCTAATGAAGATGTTTACTAGAAAACTAGACATGTATTTCACCAAAAAAATGAAAAATAGATTTGAAAAGAGGTTCCAAATGGGAATGAATTTGAAAACTCTTCGCAATATCTTGCCTTGCACACAAAGATTTGTATGATGCCTAGTTTTTTTGTGTTTGTTGACGTGATGCTCCATCGGGACTGAATGCCTGTTGCTATATTGTCGCAATGATATTCAAAAAACATATTTCGAACTTCACTATTGTTACTTACAGCTGTATCTATAGAATCTATTAAACTTATTAAATCACTTGTTTTAAAAAAATATGCTTGTTGTACATGTAATGATTATGAATTAGATGAATGTAATTTGACAATAGTCGTAAATGAATTACTTCTTTCTCATATTAATCATTCTCAATCTAAATGTTCAGTGTCAATTAATTCATTTATAGAATTATTTCAAATATTTCTCTAATTAATCATCAAGATAATGTTGGTGGTACTCTTGAATAGTTTCTTACATGCTGTCTCTATCAAGTAGGATATTCCTATTGCTATCGTGATAGATCTGCAATGGCTGTCAATGTGAATTATTATCGAGCTACGATTGATTTATATCTTTTTGTTATACAATGTCAGAAACAAATGTTTGAAAATGAACAGTATATTTGAAAAAGTATGTTTCACGTTTTCGGAATAGTTTCTAAAATAAATAACGATATTTTTATTCAAGTTGTTCATGAATATATTATAAAAGAAAATGAACCATGAAACGAATATTTTATGTATAGGTTTAGAAAGATATTAAAAAATTTAATTGAAAATAGTCGACTAGATGTTCTTACATATATTTATCGTGATGTTGGATTTGAACGATTCTTTAATATATCAAATCATACTAGAGAATGTTAGATTTAATGACAAAAGATCAATGGGGAAGAAAACTGTTTTGTATTATTGTTGATAACAAATTATTGGAGCTGTTGTTTTCGAAAGAAGATTTAATATTTATTTTATTAGATAAAAAAGAACGTAAACTATTAGAGAAACTATTAAGATTATCACCATGTCTCATTCATCAATTAGATGAAGATGGATGCGGTCCTTTACTTTATATATGCTTCAGAAATTCATCGTTGTCGATATTGAATCGATGCTATTTATTATTCTTATTTCATTAAACGAATACTGGAATGATCTTACTAAAAGCTTTTGTTTGACATGATAATAAAAAAACTATAGAAATATGTAGATATCAATGTCTTGTCCAACGTGGTTACCGAGAGAATGATGCCCATTCGAACTTAGGTTTGGTTGTCACAGGCTTTGTGGTTTTTCTAACATGTACTATGAGTCCATACTTCCAAAAATAGGCATTCGTCCTCTTTCCACGTTTCAAATTACTTCTCTAGAAGAAAAAGTTTGGATTAGGAGAGCTTTCACATAAAAACATTTCGGACTATGCCAGAAATCAAAGCACCCAGCAAAAGTCAGGTATTATTGTGCACGATGGAACAGTTCTATTTGACATCCTTATTCAGTTATCTGTGCTGTTCGAGATGATATAGTGATTTGGCTGTGACTGAACTTGATAAGCAATAATTCAATGACATAAAATCTTTTTATCATTCGTAACGATAAACAACGCTGTTATAAGTTTTTCTGTGGTAATACAAATGATAGCAAACCACCAAATACATGACAAAACTGACTAGTAATGCAAGTGCGGATAACTTAGAACCTCTGCGGTCGTGATGTACAGACAAAAACAAATTCGAATCCATATCATGCATTCGCATGGTTAAAAGGTAAATATATTGTTTATACTGATCATTCACCTTCTTATCTCTGTTAATTTAAATATTGATCTTACCATATGGATTAGTAAACGATAAGCATCAGAAAGTTAAGACAAGAAGATAATGAAGGCAGAAACGTGTCCATGAGTACGGGAATAAAGAAAAGACTAACATATGCATCCACACCCACATCATGAAGCCATTTTACAATATAAAGTACTGATAAAATAAAAGAATTCTGATTAAATCACTTTTTTTCTGGAAGCCAAATTTATACCTGTAAGAGACTAGCTTCATATTGTTTTAGCAAAAGAATCAGCAGAACGAGAAAAAAACACCGATAAGATATATAAATACAGATATTTACGCCACTCTTGTATCGATTTTGTTTTTACTTATGTCACATGGCTAGCAACAACGAATATGAAATTGCTCTAATCGAGAATGAAATAGATGCTTGTTTATGTGCTAAACTGATTGCAGAAGAATTTGCTACACGCAATCCTTTGACGATTTGTAATCAAACAACAGCCGAGCAGTCATATGATCGATGGGTTTGGCCATTCATGATGGATGTACTTGATGAAAAATTATCATTCTTTATACGACACCGTCCAACAAATGAAATTGTTGCATCGATGATAGCTAGTGACCTATTTTCATATAATGAAAGGTATCCATATGATGCTTCTAGTCCTGCATCTCATTACCCAACATCAGATTTATTTGACGAAATGGTTGATCAATTTGTTCATCATGATTTTGATCACGAACTAAAACCGAATACGGTTCTCTATATTATAGCTGTTGCAACACAATCTAAACATTCAAAAAAAAATTTAGCTGCTCAATTAAGTACTTGTGCATGTCATCATGCACAAGTTACAAAAGGATTTCAATATGCATTTGTACAAACATGTAATTCAGCAACGCGTCATATCTATGTTAAAAAAATGAATGGAAAAGAATTGGCTGTTCTTCATCCAACGACTTGGGTATGGAAGAAGAACGGTGATGGGCTATCATGTCCACTTCAAGATTATAAAGACGAACCAATTGTCAACATTCTTGTCAATCTGACTCAATGAAAATAATATAGACGAAGATCAATTTTTTTTTTCACATCGAATCATATTCGAAACTTTTAATTAATCAATAATAAATGAGAATAAATGTTAGAATACTGGTAGAAAAAAATTATTACCTTTTAATTTTTTTCAAAAAGCTTTACGAATAAAAAAGCTGAACAGGAAGAGGATGAAAATTTTTATTATAGATATTTCTCAATTAAATATAGAGTTTTCAATATATTTTTCCATTTTGACGTCGAACACCGTATTGATATTCCGCAAGTATTTTGCGTGAAAGTAATCCTGTTCTAAAAATAATGATTTTTTTTATTAACACTGGAAAGTCCAAGGTTTGCGTCAAAACTTTTGATGTTATAACACTACCCATGATACAAAAAAACTTGGCTGAGCTTATTGTAACGAAAAAGAGGGATAGTAAGTTTCATTACTACTACCCTCGGTGTACGATGTTCACTACACTACTCCATCACTTCAGCTCTGTCCGTTTAATATAGAACACAAGCTTAAATACGAAAAAGGAAACAAGGAGAAGAAAAGAAAAGATAAATAGCGAACAGAGTGAGAAGGCAGCTACTAGCCATCACGAGATCAAACAATCTAGCCGCATGATGACCGCTTCCCCTGACAACATTGGACACATAGAGAATGCACAAAGGTCGGGTGTCGATGTGTGAGGATAGTTGATCTAGTTGCTCATTCTTAAACCCACCCACGCTCATACTCTTCTCTTTCATTAACATTCAAAACCATTATTTCAATTTAGACATTATCCAGAATCAAATAGGACTTTTTTTTCTTTCAAAAAATAAAGTTTATCTTTGATGTTCGAATTAAAGTAGATTATCATTCTTCATAACTTGTTCGTATGAGGGTGGAGATTCTTCATCAGTTCGAATATTATTAGTTGGTATTGATTGATACGTAGATTGAGAGATATTGTTTGACCAATTTTTATTTCGATAACCAAGACAAAGCAACAGACATCTACCGAAACAGAAACAAATAATGATGATTGATAAAATAATTATTAAATACGTAAACCAGCGAATGACAGGCGTAACTTTACACTGGCCAGCAACTTCACCACATATTTCATGAGCTAAAAATTAAGATGAAACGTATTAGGAGAACGAAACAAGTCAATTTACATTGACAACACCATGTTTGTGGTATTAAACTGAAGTTTTCATGTCGACAAGTTACTATATAGATAATTAATATAGAATGTTAATTAAGAAAAAGTAAAGTTTCGTTTATTTTTACCATATTCACACCAGCCTATTGCTGGTGATGATGAGAAACCACTGAACCAGAAGAGCAAAATCATTAATATTGGGCATATAAGTATCATCCTCATTATATTATGTGCTTACACTTGAAAACAAGATGCTGTTATTGATTTAGTAACAATGTGTTATTTCTTTCTGATAACAATGATTCACTTCAACTTGATAAAACATATTTTCAACGAAGAAAAAAGACTACTATAATCCAATGATTACTAGATAAATACATTCTGACGCATACAAACAACATGGTCATGTATATGTTATCTAGAGAAATATTTCTTGTCTTTCGATGTAAATTTCTTTTTGTGAAATATTTCTCTAAAGTATAGTAAAAATGAAGTTGTTCTCATGTATTTTGACAAGATTAATATTACACAATGAATAATTAATTCATAAGACAAATCTTTATTCATTCGTCTCTCTTTCTTTATTAAATTCTTATAGATTATTTTTTGTCGAAGTTTGCAATTCTCAAAATTGTTTTAATCCATTGACTACCAGAACTTCGATTTCAAAACGCTCATATGAAGTATATAGATTTTTGAATAAGTTACGAACGCAAAAAAAGACATTAAGATGATACTTGAAACCATAGATTGATGTAAAAAATTCTAATCTTATAGAAACCATTTACTTAATTAGTCTGACGATTCTTCGAAAAATTACCTTGGAAAAAAACGTTCTTTACTCAGAATGTGATACTCCCAGAGTTAAAAGAAAGAAAACTTATGTCGTTTCGATCGTTTTTAGTGAAGGATTGTGTAGAAATGATGATAAGGTTAGTACTTTTTGTGTAAAAGTGAAATGCTTTATCCTGTTAAACAATACATATGTTTTTACGTATGATCTCTGATATATTTCAGTTCTTGTCAATATAGTGCAAGATGACATTCTACGCATGACGACAAATGTAATAATCGTATGAATTTATGCAAAACATATAGCTCATATGATGATCAGAATTTTTATCAAATATTGTGTATAAATGCAGAAAAAACCGTCTTTAGAAAAACTCTTACTAACGTGGATTAGCAATGCAGCACAAAATCTTTTCACACCATAATAACATACCAGCTTATGGAAAAGTTCATTAATCTCTTCTGTTCATCGTTTTCTCACCTCATTATGTCTTAGAAGAGTGTGGATGTGGGTGTCGATGTGGGTGTCGATGTGGATTGTCTCTTTATCCACACCCACCCACACCCTATTATTGCGGATCAGTATGAATCGATCTCACATCAGCCTGTCACAGCTTGGTACGCATGACATCTTGAACGTGAGAGTGAGTTCAACCTGCCATTATCACCATTTCGACTCTGCTGACGACAAAGTTTTATCAACATTATTATGACATGGAAAGTTTCGATTGTACTAATTTTTTAATTCGATGTGGGTGTGGGTGTTCATCCGCTCTTAATCCACACTCACACCCTTCTCTATGAAAACTTTGTCAAATAGAAAAAAATAAGGACATATTCGTAATCAGCGTTAAAAACTGAATCTAGAAATGTATGTTTAAAGAAAAAATAAGAGGTGCTGTAATTTTGCATTACCCGCACCTTACGTCTGTTTTCTATGGTTCGAAGATCATCTCCTCGATTATATTGTGTCACTCTGACATGATTCAAGTGTTTCTGATTCTACACAAACAACTCTTCGTGCACTTTCATCTGCGAATGCCATGTCAAAATTGAACAATGACAAATGAAGAAAGAAAAGTTTCGTTGATATCAATCCCATACCACCTTCTTATCGAGGAAAAATTACTTGAACTCCTATCCGTTTAGAAAAATAGTTGATTTTTTTATTGATCTTGACTGCTTTTTGATTTACAAAACTCGTCCAATGCATTTTGCCAGTTGACTTTTATCTTGACGTTTCCCAAATCAACGACACGAAAAGCTGTTGCCCGTCTGTTCATCACGTGAAACACGGCGTCTTCAACGTTGCCCGAAAACTTTTTTCTAGCTAAATAAGCGGCTACGACTGCCGCCGACCTCTGACGTCCAACCCCACAATGAATTAGAGTTGGCTCCCCTGCGCACTGCTCGAGAATAGGCACAGCTTTGTGTAGGAGATCAACGAAATACTGTGTTTCTGTTGGTGATGGTTCGACATTATCTTCAGCTTCAAAACGGTAATAAATACAATTGTCGCGTTTCGTGATTGGTTGTGAGCAGATGCTTACGATATTTCGAATGTCATTCGCGGCAAGAAATTCAACATCTTCAGCGTCGTGCAAAGAGCCGAGCCAAAGATTTGGGATGACGAGAGACGGAGCTTCTCGTTGTCGTTGTGACATATCTAAAACATAACATTGTCAATTCAAAAATTTCTCTATCAAACGACGAGTTGGTTAGTTATTTTATTGTGGAATAAATGTCTTGATCGATTGGGTGAGAAAGTTTTAGTAGATGAACGTTTCGAATTTAAATCGAACAAAAGAACACTGTTCACTTTTAATTGAATAACTTAGCTATCTTCAGGTAGCTAAGATTTCTACAGCTCAGACTGCTACGCAAACTGTCCCGTTTTCGCTAGCACAGGTGAAAATCTCTCATATTCACAAATAAATAGTTTAATCACAACTTTCATCAATATAAGGAGCGCGAATGCACGTACTCAACTTACGTTCATTCTACAGATACATGCAGTATGTTGGTAAAAAAAAGACCATTTGCTTTTGATGATTTGAATTAAATTTGAATTAAGTTGTCGCAGGAACTCGAAAATTTGAGTTAATCTAGCACCAGATTAAGACGTTTCTGAATCAATCAGAAGGTCAAGTTATTGTAGAAGCGTCTATCTTCCAATGGTACATCTCAAATATGCTGGTGAAATTGGCTTCTTTCAGTTTTGGTAGAACACTTATGAATAAAGAAACCGCTATGAAGAAAAAACGTTCAATTGAAGTCATGATTTAAAACTATCTTGAGGGTCAGGATGAGGGCGTGGGTATAATGATCCGACTATTTTGGAGCTTTCCGAGCGAGAGTTCGAGTGACAAACTCTTTCGCATCTCGGTTCAGATATCTTCATATCTCTTATACCCATACCGGTGACGACTGGCACCATTCAAAAATCACTTACGAGGGACGGTTCCCAAGTATGAGTCGCCGATCGAGCTAATATTTTGTCCAAAAGCAGGACTTGATGAGACTAGCAGAAGCCTAGAAGAGTTCGGCTCGATGCTATCTCCTTCCCGAGTTATTACCATTTTACTGAATTTTTTATCTATGGCAAAGTACTTGTGAAGAAATCGAATTACAAAATTTCGGTATGAAATTTTGCCTATAGGTAGATCTCATGCTCATTAGAATGCCCTAAAAATTTCAGCTCAAAAGAATATGTTCTTCTTGAGATATTGAGTATCCAAGACACTCCGTTTTCTCACCTTGTCTGGTGACACACGATCGTTTTTAGGTATTCAATATCTCGAGAAGAACATATTCTTTTGGGTTGAAATTTTTAGTACATTCTAATGAGCATGAGATCTACCTATAGGCAAAATTTCAGATCGAAATTTCGTAATTCGATTTCTTTACAAGTAACTTGCCATAGATAAAAAGTTCAGTAAAATGGTAATAACTCGGGAAGGAGATAGCATCGAGATGAACCCTTCTAGGCTTCTGCTAGTCTCATCGAGTCCTGCTTTTGGTCAAAATATCAGTTCGATCGGCGATTCATACTTGGGGACCTTTCCTCGTTAGCTGCCGGGTGCGAAAGCTATGCTGTCTATCAGCAAGGAGTAGGGATGTGCGGTTACAGTGTAACAACTGTGAATACCGACACTGACGTCACTGAAGGATGGTACACTGAGCACTGGGTTACACTGCAGTAATGTCACTGACACTGGCACTAAACCGGCACCAAAGATCACTGATACACTGATTATTTCATAGTATATCATCTTGTACGATTTTGTGGGTGTGGGTGTGAGTGATTGAAGAAGAATAAACTACACTCAGGCACAGACTCACACCCACACCCCAGAAGGTAGTGTTGATGATTATTGATTTCATTCTTCCATTGCGCCCACTAAAACTGAATTCGAATAATGAATCAAGTAACGGTTAGAAGAGTGGATGTAAAAGAATACAATGGAAGAAAAGATAGAAAATATTTAAGAAAGCATTTTCGCGCAGTTCCTTTGGAGCGGAAATGCGAAACTCACTTATATCCTTCAAACTAATGTCCATTCAAAGAAAAAAGGCGGATGGATATTTTTCGAATAACTTTTGATAGAAGCAAGATAGAGAGCTGCTATTTCCACCGTTGAAAAGAGGAAATGAAGACGCATGGAATCATTTAATATAGGTTTCTTCAGGCGGTTTTTAAAGTTTTCTTAGTCAATTTTCTAAAAAAAATGTCAAAAAATTCAGTTCCTATTTGATAGGATAAACGCGAAAAAGTGACTTTTTTCACAGAAATTAATAGAAAAATTGGCTACGAATTTCAACTAGGATACTTATAACTTCTGAATGAATAGAGCTAAAAGTCTCGGCCTTGCGTATAATTTGTAGATATTCTGTTAGCGGTCCAAATGCACATGAAATTATTGAAAAACCATTTTAGTTGCCTTATGGAATATGTTCGTTTCCGAAAACGCCGCTTAAAGTCTTTGAAAGAAACTATGTCAAATCATTTTATAACATACATTTCGATACGCTTTCATCTCCCCTTTCCAACGGTGAAAATCACAGCTCTCTATCTTGTTCCTATCAAAAGTTATTCAAAAAATATCCACTCGCCCTTTTTTCTGAATGGGCATTAGTTATCTTAATGCATCATTTTGTAAACTGAAAAATAGTTTTTTTTTCAAATAATTATGAAAGCATTGAAATATTGTATAGCAATTGAACTCATATTCTTCATACTGTTCAAGTAGTTTTTTTTTATTGTTCAATAACTCTGAAGCCTTTTGTGCGCGGTTGCTTAGGTCTGTAATTGGGACCTGTCTGTAATGAGGAGAGATCTATAATGGCGGCCTACGTTGCTAAGTGTCTGTAATGAAGACGGGGGTGGGGGAGCTGCCAAAACTCGAACTCAAAACTTACATCCACTATTTTGTGGAACTCACATATATTTTCGAAGAAAATAGTGAGTATAGGTTTTAAGTCGAAGTTTTCGGCTTCACCCTTCCCCCATTACAGACCTTAGCAACCGCGCGCAGTAGTTTTCAGATTTATTTAACAATAAAAACGAGTTGAGCAGTATGAAGAATATGAACTCGACTGCTATGCAATATTTCAATGTTTTCATATTGTTTGAAAAAAACTATTATATATTTGTTAAAGTTCTTAATAGTGTAATCATTGACTTTTTTAGAATTTGAACTTACATGTTAAAAATCATGGATGAAGAGTAGTAATATAAATTGATCTATCATAGCATTCATATAATCAACATAAGAAGCATGAGTTGATCTGTTTATCAGTTTGAAAAGTAAACAATATCACCATTTATGGATTGTTTGAGATATATAGTAGTGTGGTAAGAGCTGCTAATGCATATAAACTGCATTATTGTAATAGTCTTATTTATGAAATAGTCGATGGTAAAAAAAAAAATAATAATCTCAAATTAAAAAAAAGCAAAAAAATGACTATTATCGAGTATGTAGCACTAATTATAAATGAAATCGGGCGCTCTCAAACAAAGAAGACATTTTCTGTTCTAAACGTAGAAATAAATAATAAATTCTCGCTCTTGTCATCGATTATTAGTGAAAACAACTACAGTCGACAATAAATTTTTCAGTTTATAGATGATGTATTAGGATAACAAGGTTGAAGGATAGATGTGAGTTTCACATTTCAGCTCCAAAGGAGATGCGCTAATAAGCTTTTCTTCGAAAATATATTATAATGTTAAATAAAATCAGTTATAGAAAAAGAAAAGGCATTAAGCGAATGTGTTGCTATTCAACAAAAAATTTTAGGGAGTTCATTTCTTAATAACGGAAGATGTCATAATATTAAACACAGAGATAAAAGTCATCGAAAAGGAACACTAGTATGTCAGTGTTCCACTGAACACCGATTTCGGTGTGATCAGTGGTCAGTGAATGTCAGTGCTGTAGTGAACGACAGTGTATCAGTGATCTTCGGTGTCGGTTTAGTACCAGTGTCAGTGACATCATTGCAGTGTAACCCAGTGCTCAGTGTACCGTCCTTCAGTGACATCACTTGTCAGTAAACCGAAACTGCACATCCCTAGCAACGAACGAACTTATAATAGAACTATCTTAGCAACTTACTCTAGCTTCACTCCATTAATTTTGTCTAAACTTGTCACCGTCTGTCCACATCACCTTCTATTTCTCTCTGTAAGAAAGTTTTTTTTCGCTGTCTCGCGGTCTCTGATCACCATTCGAGTAACTTCGACAGACAACAATGATCATTGCGTCAGTAGGACAATGTGCTTACTTCTCTTCTGTGCACATTCAACTGCATCAAAAGGTAACTGTTTGTGTTATACTTACTGACAACGAAAATTGGAAGAAGAATTAATGCTTGCTTTACTCATGCTCTGCTCTTTATATAGAGGCGAAAGCAAAAAAAGAAAAAAAAATTATGCTTGATTTTTCGCTGTAGAAACAAAAATATTCCTTTTATTCTTCTTTTTCTACTCTTCCATTTAATCGAGTATAAGGTAACGAGAGAGTAAATATAGAGAGGGCATTGTTTTTGCTTCCTTTCAGTCGAAGCGAAAAGCTTGAGCTTTGCAATTCGCAGAATTTTGTAATATGATCACGATGACTCAAAGTGGTTATTTCCATCTACATATTTTTTCCAGAGAAAAACTCACGAAATGAGTCACTTGGTAATTTACTACAAGAGAGAACAGGCATTTAGGCCACTTTTTTGCCCACAACATTTTTGAAAGAAAAAATGTGCTTGTAACAAATTGAGTATGGGCTGCTATCTGACCCTAGCTGTTGGAAACACACCTTCAAAAAAGAATTCAAGACTTATTTGATCTGTCTATGCATGAATCATTTTTTCGTTCTTCATTTTTCAACTTCATTCGTAAAGGGAAAAAACTTTGACTCATTTGTGGAAAAGCATCTTTTTCTTGACACATTTTTGCAACTCTACGACATACAAAATTGCGCATTAATCACACGTTTTTTGCAACATCCTCAATGTCGATTGATCAGGATGTGGGCGTGGATGTGGGTTGGTGTGGGTGGGTGAGTGTGAGTGGATATGAGTACGGGAGTGGGGTGTGGGTTTGGGTGTCGGATGTGTGTGTTGATGAATAGTACACCCACACTCACACCCACCCGCACCCACACTCACACCCATACCCACACCCACACCCATACTCGCACCCACATCCACACCCACAACCACTCGCACACACCCACATCCACATCAACCTCACCCGGCAACTGCAGCACTAATCATGTTCTATTCTCTTATAAATACTATCATCGTTGTCATAAATAGACTGATAAGTGTCATATAAAGTAGTCTTAAATTTCTGTTTTAAATTTTCCTAGATTATGATTAGTGAGTTGGAGGTCGCTACCGCATAGATCTTCATCTATTTCAAAAGACTGAGAAGCAATATAGCTTCCTTCGCATCGCATTAGCTTCTTTTTCACTATATTCAACAGTCATTACAAATCTTGGAGTCGTTAATCAGGATTTAAATCTGTGAGCCATCTGATAATTCTCCTTACTGAAGTAAAGTCTATAGATTATGGTTACTCTATCCACTCTCATCCTCAAGTAGCAATTGGTGTTTAGCATAGTATCGTTTCATGCTTGATAAAAACACGCCTCAGTTGACCAATTTCGTTGCCCACACTAGAGTCCTTCTTAGCCGTCAAAATGACGTGGCCCATCCAACACTGCGCGGAAGTGGAGAATTGGATTTTGCTGGACATTTTTTGTTTCATTAACCTTTATTCATTTCACAAAAAAGAAGTTACAATTGCAAAAAGTAAAGGACAATTTTAATGAAGAAGCTACTATCTCATCAACAAAATACAACTACAATCAAGAAACAAGAATCTCAATCAACACAATACAATTAATTACACTCAAGGAACTATAATCTCAATTCACAAAATACAATTTACATCAGTAATTTAGAATCTCAATCGAACAAAACTCAAATATCTATCAATAAACTACAAGTTAAATAAACAAAAAGACAATTTTAACAAGCAAAGTAGGATATCTTTCTCAAAACTATAATTGAAATAGTTATTTATTTTCATGATTTACATCCCAAGGAGAAAGCACACGATCAACATCAACATTCATATCTGAATCCCATGGTAGCAATATATCCTTAAGATTAACATCAATATAATCAAGATATGCACAAACTTTGTAAGCATTTTGAAAAATACATTCAGAAAACCATTCATTAAGTTTCATATCTTCTTCATCATTATTACTTGAGTCGAGTTTGTTATTATTATTATTATCCTTACCTTGATCCAAATTATTATCATTATTTACATCAATATGGTTATCATTATTTGATGGAACATTAAATCCATGATTTTGATCAACAGGATTATCAATTTTATTGTTATTCACAATGTAGACATGATGAAGCTCATCTAAGTTATTGATCATTGTTGTGGTTTGTACTGTGATTGTTGCTGTTGATGCTTTCATTGGTATGTTCATTGTTGTTTTCGGTATTATCCACCGCCATCATTTCAACATTATCATCGTCAATGACTATGATATCGTTCTCAGACATTGGTCGCCTGGGACTACAGGTGCGGTATAACTAAACGAAATTAAATGTTATATATTAGTACAAAACATTTTGGTTCACTGAAGTTCGATAAACTTTTGTGAACAAAGGGGCATCACTGTCGACGTGATTCGAAAATTTCGCGCCGATAGTGACACACAAAGATTCACAAAACTTTGGTGTATTTCACAAAGCCAAATTCTCAAAATAACAAACAAAGAAAATATTACTTACTTCAGCCCGGATTTGAAGTGTAACTCGAATAGTCATATTAAGTGTATCTTTGCTATACTTCTAAACAATAGAAACTCCTATATATATGTAATTGACTACAACGTGTGCTCACATTAAACCGTTCTTCTTCGTGGTGGGATTCAATCATTTTAGAAGCCCACATATTAAGCTGATTATTTGGTAAGGACATCACAAACGAAAGTTAACTAAAAATTAAATATATATTTATCTAGAAAACAAGAAAAATAAGGTTAGTATATGAAAATTAATTCGAATATTGTATGCTAAAATAAAGATCATTCACAAAATTTTCGCTAACTCATAAACACCCAATTATAAACGAACAACCACACTGAAAACAATAGCGCAAATAAAAAGCCACAGGAAAAACCGCACACTGGAGGCGATTTCCGCATTAGGCGAAAGAGACTTTAAGAGGCATCTAACTGTTTTAAAAGGCATAACTCGATATCTATCTCAAGGATGTATACGGTTTGTTAAAATGATTTTTTCTAGTGGATAACGCCCTGATTTTCAACAGAGCCATGAATAAACTTTATGCTGAATCAAAGTATGCCAAAAATGGAGCTCATCACTAATAAATCGTGTGGGTTCTAAAGAGAAACCACTCATAGTTGACAATGACTTTTCTATCTTAGGACATTTGAAAGTGTTGCTCATCTTTAGCTAAACTATAGAGTTATCGATAAGGCTCTACCAAATGAGTGGTATATGTGCAGTGCTCCTACTTAATTATGGAAGAGAAAGGGCTCCTCACTATATTTTCACCATAAAAAGCAACTACTCAAAGTTGACAATGACTTCTCTCTTACGATACTTAAAAGTGCTGCTCATCTTCGGGTAGACTATGGCGTTATCGATGACTCTCTACCAAATGAGAGATATATGCGCAGTGCTCCTCTTTATCAATAAAACAGAAAATGTTCCTCGCTCTATTCTCGCTATAAAAACAAACCACTCAAAGTTGACAGTGACCTTTCTTTCTTAGAATACTTGAAAGTCCTGCTCATCTTCCAGTAAATCATGAGCTTATCGATGACGCTCTATCGAATGAGGGGTACATATACAGTGTTCATACTTAATTATGAAAGAAAAGTGGCTCCTCCCAAGGGCACAAAACAGGCCCATTTAATAATAAACCCCGTGCCGAGCGGGTCTATATTTTTATCGGGGCACTCGGCCCAAAGTTTCACATAGATTTTTCCATCATCAAGTACATGGGCATCGCTAGAGATTCGAATAGTAAACGTTTCATATTATAGATACACAATTGGTTGAATTATAATTGATTCATTTATCACACCATTCACATTTTCATAGTTGTTGAATACTTCTTTATTTATTTGTTAATGTTTTTGTTTGACTGACAATAGATTATCTTTTTGTGGATAATGTTACTATTGTTGTCAGATTGATGATAAATTATTGTTCTTGTTGGATAACTGAAGTATTAGGGTGTGGGTGTGTGTCTTCTCTTTATCCACACCCTGCATTCACATCCACCGCGATACCCACACCCACAATGATATTAAAATTCAATAATAAAAAACAAGAACAGGTTTCTTTGATTTAGTTAAAAAATATGAAGTAGATGTCATTAATTCATACGCTTGTTTTAGCTTTTTCATTGGCCGCATGTAATTAAATATTGTTATTTTTGATTTCGTTGAATGCAGCGCGGATTTTGTAATCTAATACTTAGATGAACTTTTCCAAAGGATTAAACCACCTTAATGGAAAAACATGAAAAAACCGTGTCTTTGAGTCAGATGGTAACTCACTCATCTGGTATAATACATTGAATGAAACATAGGTCTTGGTGGAAAACGTCGAAAAGGAAAACGTCGAAAAAAAAATAGAAAAGGAAAATATCGAAATGATTCATCTGTTCGTGTAATGCATGATAGATTGTATGCTTTATTAATTTAAAAATGAAAAGACCAGAGAGTATTCAGAATATTATAAAATGCTATTTTTTTTCTTCCCAACTAGTAACAATAAACTTGACAATAGTTCCTTGGCATCTATTTGCTTCTTGAGAAATCTATCGTACAGAGTATCAAGTCTTATTTGAAAAGCTTTTGTTTTTGTTGATTGTTTCGGTGCAGATGCACCAGCATCAAGTTGAATTGAAATAGGTTCGAAACGAACATGTTCTTGTCGAAGCAATTGAATAAAGCTCTAAATATTCGGGTGTTTTTTTTGATAATCGAGTTAAAAATCGAAGATTATAAGCTGAAATAATGAATGCTAGAGCTTAGAAATGAAAAATATGGTATATTTTAGTGATGGATGTTGTTTCACCTAATATACGTTCTTTCATTTTATCTCGTACAAGTTTTACTTGTATTTGATCTGAGTTGGCAGGATGATTGTAGTCACCCCTAATGCATATAAATTCATCAGCAAGATTTGCGCGTGTGTAAACACCAGTATTTTTCAGTGCACACGCAATGCTTTTTTTAATGATGTTGTTCTATTGCATTTAAATAAGTAACTCTTTAATACTAGTAATTTTTTGCCTTTATTAGTTGTGGAAAAAGATATGCCAAATTCCTCAGTCGTAAATGAATTACTGTTGGAAGCTAACGTTGAGGCCACTGTGACTATATAATTATTATACTTGCGAAAAAATAATTTCTTTATCTGACGGACAGTAAAATGTATTCGTCGGTGACGCACCAATATGAATAAAAGCAATTTAACTTTTCTAATGACATCTTTAAACTTATTCGACATTTTCCTTTTCGATATTTTCCTTTTCTACTTTTTTTCGACATTTTCCTTTTCTACTTTTTTTCGACATTTTTCCCTTTCAGTGTTTTCCTCTAACCCCGTTTATATTGAACCAAGAAATTGTTATTCAACAAATACTAATGAACTATTGAAATCGGATATTCTTCTCTTTTTTTCGTACATCAATATGTAATGAATGTGAAGTGAACAATCCAAGTATTACCTCATCACGTTTAGGAAAAATATGAGTCAGCCAATAATAACAAATGGTAACACGAGGGAGAATAGAGGTCACTAAAAGATGACATAACCTTCGAAATTTTTTGTAATAATCAAATGTACGATATGATCCGTGGCCTAGTGTTCGATGACTCAGCCGTCAATTCTAAAACTGCAATGATTCAACACATTTATGCATTAAGAAATACACACGCTTTCTGTATATTAAATCTAATTTAAATATAATGCAATTTCAATTTTGTGATAAGAAAAAATAGATATATTGGGTTAATCTTTTTTTTTGTATAATAGACTCATCATAGTTGAGGTTACGCAAAGCGTAACGTGTGTTAAAGAAAGATCAACTATCAGAAAGAATATGACAGTGTTTGTGTGGCATTATTGTTCTTTTTTACATCGTTGAATATTTTCCTAGAGTTTAACATAAATCGCTGCAGATCATCTTCGCTTTAATTTTTATCATACATTTTTTAAACAATTAGATTTTCATTATTCTCTCATCGAAAAAAAATTTTTACCAACAAAAGACGTGTTCACAGAAAGGAAGAACTGATCTATGATTTTGTAAGATTGAATACCAGGATTCATATGCAAAACTTTGAGTGAAATTATAACGCTGTGAAAAGAGAGGTGAATACGAAAAAAATACATTGGATTTCAAATGAAATAGAAAGGAAAATCGATTTACATTATGAAATTTTTTTTAATATTATATATAAATTACAATGGAAAGAAAACTGGTTGGTAAAAGGCCAACTGTAGCTATACCATAAGCAACAAGATGCGGAAACTTCTGAAGGATCAAAATTCATTTTAAGACAATAAGCCACAAGGAATAGCCTGCATAAACGATAGTCATTCCATGTATAGCTACCATGTTAAGCCTTCTCAGTGACTCATACAAAATTAGCGACATCTATATTAATTTGAATTATTTAACCCGAAACTCTTTTGCACATATCTTAATTAGTTGTTTTTATGTTCAAATTAATTAGAATCTAGCTTCCAACTAGGTGTGTATATACCAAGTGTAGCTGAGAAAAAAATTCATGTTCTTACACCAATCCGTTGCACCAGACCACGGATCAATATAATTATATAATAACTTATTACGTAAAAAAAACAAAAGAGTGACAATAACCACTGTTTGTTTCTTTAATGATTGATAGCACCAGGACTCACGAAAGTAGGGGGATGCGCACCTCACCCCAATCTCCCCAATAACGGGAAATCATTCAGTATTACCCAGTAAGACGAGTTAGATTTTTACAAATTTTATACTACCGCTGTGACACATTTTCTTATAGAACCCCCTTACACCCCCAATGTTGGCACTCTCGCATGGGGCGGGTGTGGGTGTGGATGTGGATGTGGGTGTGGGTGTGGGTGGGTGTGGGTGTTGGTGTGGGTGTGGGTAGGTGTGGGTGTGGGTGGGTGTGGGTGGATGTAGGTGTTGGTGTGGGCGTGGGTGGGTGTGGGTGGGTGTGGATGTGACTGGAAGAAACATTCTCACACACACCCACACCTAGCCACACCCACACCCACATCCACGCCGCACACCCCCACCCACACTCCACACACCCACATCCATAAATTTCACTTGGTTAGAAATAGCTTCGCTATATCCAGGTGCGTCGTACACATCGTGTCGACGCTAAATATTTCGATGATTAATATATCATTCAGAGAACAAAAG